GGGCGCGGGGAGGAGGGCGCCCCCCGGCGGGCAGGCGGAGGAGCGCTCGGCTGAGCCCCGCTCCCGGATGCAGTGCGCGCTCTTCCCGCAACTCCTTCCCTCCCCGTTACTGTATCACGGAAACCTCCCTTCTCCATTTCTCCTTTGTCTTCTTGTTTGTCCCATTCTCCAGGAGTTGCCCGAAGAGCAGCATATCCAGGCAAAGGCCTGCCTCTTCTCAGAGCTTGGCAAAGTGCGTAGTGACCAGAACCAGGGCCCAATTTCACTCCATCCCCTTTTGTTGCAACAAAAGCTTAACCCTGGCCAAGGCTCCCACCACCCTACAGTGTTACACAGCTCCTGTCACTCCCCAGTACCCCTGTCGGCAAAGGAACTTCTACAGGGGCTGTCTGGAGGTGCATGGTACCAGCAGACCCCTCCTGTAAATCCAGTTCTCCCATTGGCAAGCAGTAAGAGGAAGGAGAGGTTGCCTGTGCTGCATGCTCTTCTGGCTCCCTGCTGCAAGGAGGGGACAGGACAGGGCACAATTAGCTCTGTTGGTCCTTCTACGGAGCAAGTAGGGAAGTTAAGCAGCAGCATCTTTGAAACAAAGCAGCTGACAGCATTTTGCTGTCCTACCACCTTTCAGGTCTGGCAATTCTACAGTAGCACTCTCAAATACTGCAAAGTGAAACACAGTTATCTTGAAGGTTTTCATACTTTTATCTCCAGCACTGCTGCTGAGAAACCTTTGGGTGTTTGGGAAATTCAGTGGCACTGGCCTAATTGTTGCCAGCAATAAAGCAGCAGGACGGTCCCTCCTTAGGAAATAGTGATCAAAGCCACCAAGCTGTAGGACAGTCATTTATACCTGAATCCCTTCCTAAGTTACAACAGCCTCTACTACTTGCCTGTGCCCTCCACAGTCACTAACTGCCTTGGAACTTCCTTTCGTGATCCATCTCACTGTAAACCTCACTGCAATGACAGTCCCCAGTGTCCCTGTTGTGAGACAAAAAAATATTTAACGTGTTTATAACTTACAAACCTCAGCTGAAATAAGAAACTATTTGACAGTGGAGTATTCGTTCACAAGCATTTTCATGGGGAAAAGGAGAAAAGAATTAAAAATTTCCTATCCTGATAAGTTAAAATGCACACTTGCATATAACAATTTCCCGTGCATTTTAGAAGACAACCTACAAAAATATATTGACAAAGAATTCTGCAGAAACTGTTATAGAGCAAACTCCCTTCTCTAAAGAAGAAATTATTATAGTTTGAATTGTTTGGTTACAGGCTTACTTAGTATCTGCTTACTCAATCCAAATGTTTGTACAGTAAGCAGTAACTGATCTAAAATTATTCCAAAAAACCCAGACTCCCAAACTTAACAACGAGGTATTAAGCACTGACCACCTTTTCACTGCCACTATATTTTTGGAATCCACTTGTAAGAAAGCAAGCTTGTAGATACGCACATATAAAACACCTTATGTTTTACATAGTATGGGAATGCTTCCTTGTATTTAATATTCTGAAAGCTTTTATATTTTTTAAATATTTGCTGTCCTTTGGAGACTTCACAACACACTTTAATTTAAATATTCTTATTACACCTGTGTTTGTACTGAAAACTAGGAAATCTACAGTAACACTAAGCTGTTCCACAGTGCTTTATCCAAGTAGCTCAATTACTTGTTTCATCAGATGGAGGAAACTTAGCCAAAACAAACAAGACTTTAATTTATTCTCTATTAGTGAAATAACAGTTGTTTTTTTTTCACAAGTGAAATTTTACTATATTTCATATACATAGAAAAGTACAGTAAGTACAGTATTAAAAAGCAGGAAAGATGTAAGCCATTGCAAAGTCTTTGCAATATATTTAAAAATACCTATGCCATATCACTCCTTTTTGATTCAAGAGGCTAATTCTTGATTATAAAATTTTTCATAAAATTCCAAGTCTTTTATGTTTAAGGATGGTTTTACAGTCCTCAATGATTTTACAAAATGCTCGTGTTTTACAGCAGTTGCTTCAAGTCCATTCTCTTGCAATGCCAACAAAGTAGCCTTTAAAACAAAAAGAAAAAAAACACTAATTTGAAGTGCTTATCATGTTTTAAGTTGCAAAGAAATTATTGTAAGTATTCTAAAATATTTTACATGAAACCAAATTTTAGGTAAAGGATCTGAAAACAGCATTGTGTAATTCATGGTTATTTAACAGTAGATAAACAAAAAAATAAGATGACTATAACTTTGTCATTTGCTTTTTTGTCTGCATTAGACAACATGCCCTTGATCACTTATATTTTTGGGTTTTCTTCCTAGTCTTCTCTCTTTTTACGTAACTTATCTCAAATACTTACAGATTTTTCTCTCCAGTCTTGACAGTACATGCTAATTTCAGCTAAAAATGCTGCAGTTGCTTGCAATACACAGAATGCAATTCATCTAGATGAGCTTGGATAGGGAACGGCCATGTGAAACAAAGGGTAGTACAGTTCCTTAACTTCTAGTAAATTATCATGGAAAGCCTTTATTCTTATTTGGTTTTTTTTATTATTTGAATAATCAACCCTGTTCAGTTCTTCTGCTTTAGTCATTCTCCTTATATTTTCATTACAATCTGTGAAAGAATCTGTACTACAGATGGCTCAGTAACTTCTATGAGTTAGCTCTGTTTTTTCATTGAAAGGTTTTATTTAAAGTTTATTTCACAGATGAACCATGAATATTTCTTACCTCCTTGCACAGATTTTCAATATCAGCTCCAGAGAAGAGGTCTGTTAGGGCTGCCACATCTTGTAATGACACATCAGTCTCTAATGGAATTTTTTCTGTGCAGATTTTCAAAATTGAAAGCCTTCCCTGTATATTGGCACATATTATATAAGAAAACAAACAAACCAATAATTAATCCCTCTCCAAAGCAGTACAATATCTGAAATTACAACTAAGGAAAATCCAGAATAGTACCAAAACCAAAACTACATCTTTTTGGCAGAAGAGTGAATAAAATGCTATTAATGGAGATAACCACAAGAGTAAGTATTATCTCATATGTTAAAGTCTGGTATTCACAGTTACTCATTTCTTCATGAAAACACACTATTTTAGACTGAATAGTCCATATTTGGCCTGCTTCAGGTCAACTTTTTTTTTTTTTTTTTTTTGTTAGGAAGCTCAGGACAAGTAGCCACACTACCCTTGGGAACAAGGCACAAGAATGACTTGAAGCAAAGACAGGTAGTACTGTAACAAGTTGACTAAACTGCAGCTTGCTTTGGTAAATACAGAATGATTCCAGATTTTTCTATTATCTGTTTTCTATATGAAATAGTGTAACTACATACACCAGTTAATATGTTACTGGTGTTTAAATTACAAATGTAATTATTCCTTTTTAAACTCCTTCATTGTACCCTGAGTTTGGTGACTGATCATCAGCAAATAATCCATCAATTGTTAAATATATTATAGGAACATGCCCCCTTTGTTTTTAAAGTAAAGTATGCTCACAATTAATATCTCTTCACTTAAAGCCACGTATGGATTTGTAATACCTCACCTTCAGATCTGGAGGTGGAACATAGATCATCTTGTCTAACCTTCCGGGACGCAATAAAGCATCATCCAACATATCCGGTCTATTTGTTGCAGCAACTACCATGAAATCTTTGTTCAAAGTTTCCTGAAACTCTAGCTGAGTAAGAGACGATATAAACAAATTTGTGCAACACGGTTTAGATATTATATAAAGATATTAGTTAACTATTAATGAGAAAAGGGGAAGGGCAAAAAGACGATATATAATATGTAATTCTTTTCCTTTCAATATTAATAATTTTTTTGAGGTAAAAAATGCCTTGTTGCAGGCCAGATTAGATGACAATGAAGAAATATAGTTAGTATCTGCCTTGATGATAAATACAGATTTTTCATTGGCCAGATTTTAACAAAGACCTTTTATATGCAAAAATTCAGTATCCTACAATTCTGAAACTGTTTACTTCAGTGTTCCCCCAAAGAGCATCAGTATATGAAGACAGAAATTGAAATACAGAAAAGCTTAATGTTAAATGTTGTGAATAATTCACTGTAAAGTCCAGCTGCAAACTTTTTGTTTAAATAAGTAACTGATCATAACTGTACCAGTTTTGTATAAAATATGTATGAGAAAGCACTGCAAATGAAGTAGGGGAAATGCTTATAAGAAGTAAGTTCAGGAAGGAACCTGTATAATAGTAAAAATAGCACAATTAGTCTAAAAAATTACCTTAATGTCAAGCAAGAGGATTTTTGTGACAGAAGATGAACACCAACTAGTAATGCTCATTAGCCTGTGTGGGTATTTTGGTCAAACAAACCAAGTCTCATTGAGCAACAATGTATGTAAAAACAGTTAGCAGCCTACGTATGGTATTTTCTAAAAACTAGAAATTATGACAGAGTAGAAGAGCATCTTGCATATTTTCAAGCTTGAGGATTTTAAGTTTAAATAGTGTGAATGCCAACAACTAAAATATTTGAAAAAATGGACAGCATTTATCATTCTTCTTATTTAGAAAAGGGAATATAAATACCTTTCTTTCCTCATAATTTTGTTCTTGACATTGACCTTCAAGCTGTAGTTTGCTTCCTCTTCTTTCTGTGACTTTCAGCCCAATACCATCCAACTCATTGAGAAGAACAGAAAGAACCCGCTCTGAGACACCATGGCCAGTTTTGCAGTGTGACCGAGATCCCAAGATAGAATCAATCTCATCTAGGAATATTATTGCTGGGGTATTTGCTCTTGCTTGGCGAAAAACCTTTTTTTTTTTTTTAATTAATGAAATAAAATGTTAATACATACATTCTATCAGATAAGGTGAAAACACCTACTTACATATCCTCTGTATTTTACTTACTTAATTTGAAAGATATGTTCATAAAGACTCACAAGAGCTGTTCTGGCTTACATTTACTATAGGCAAATTCTGCTGCTTATTTAAATTCTTAAATGAACTGAAAACAAAATGGTAGAAATACTTTCAAAGTTTAAAACTGGTACAATTTTAGGGCTAGATTCTCAGCTGATACAAATGTGAATCTGTAAGCCATTTTATTTAATAATCAGATGAGAGCTTTAACTCCCATCTTTTCATTAATAAAATTTAGGCCTAGCTAATACTTGACAAAAATCAACCAAAAATAAACTATAGACATTACATAAATTGAAAACTGTACCTGAGACAAAATCTTCTCTGAATCACCAACGTAAGGTGAGAAAAGGTCAGCGCCACTTACAGAGAGAAAGGAACAGTGACAACTTGTGGCCACAGCCTTCACCAGTGTGGTTTTGGCACACCCTGATGGCCCATAGAGAAGAATACCCTTTGGATGAGACAGGCCCATCCTAGCAAATGCCTGAGGAAATTTCATAGGCCACTCAATACTCTGTCAATACAGAAAAAAGGGATGAAATTCTTAGTAATGAAACTAGAGTTCATAGGCAATCAATAAAGTTGCTGAGCACATTATTTCCTCTCCTTAGTACAAACATTAATTTGAAATCAAGAGCGTGGCCAGTAGGTCGAGGGAGGTCATTCTCCCCCTCTACTCGGCACTGGTGAGGCCACAACTGGAATACTGTGTCCAGTTTTGGGCTCCCCAGTTCAAGAGGGACAGGGAACTGCTGGAGAGAGTCCAGCGAAGGGCAACCAAGATGACCGAGGGACTGGAGCATCTCCCTTATGAAGAAAGGCTGAGAGAGCTGGGACTCTTTAGCCTGGAGAAAAGAAGGCTGAGGGGAGACCTTATTATTGCTTACAAATATCTAAAGGGTGGGTTGAAGGAGGATGGAGCCAGACTCTTCTCGGTGGTTCCCAGTGACAGGACGAGGGGCAATGGGTGCAAGTTGGAACATAGGAAGTTCCATTCCCCCACACAGAAAAACTTCTTTACAGTTCAGGTGACAGAGCAGTGGCACAGGCTGCCCAGGGAGGTTGTGGAGTCCCCTTCTCTGGAGATTTTCAAGAGCCGCCTGGATGCAGTCCTGAGTAACGTGCTCTAGGCAATCCTGCTTTAGCAGGGGAGTTGGACTAGACGATCTCTACAGGTCCCTTCCAACTCTGAAAATTCTGTGATTCTGTGATCAGAGAATACTAATTTGGTCTTCCATCATATAATGCCCTTCTTAAAGTTTCCTCTCTGTCCCAAACAGAACGAAAGGCAGTCCTTGAGAGATGATACACAGGAGACATCTCTGGCTAAAACTTTAGGAATGGAAAAACCTGGCTACAAGTTAAAGTGTTTTTCAGCTGCTAAAAAACATGCTTATTTTCTCATGATATTATGCTTGGTGGCAATATCTTGTGACTGAAAGATTTCTAATTTACAAACATTGTAACTTAATGCAGTATAAAAAAAAAGTTTAAAATATAATTTATAATCAGGTAATTTGCAAGAAAATTCATTTCCATAATGTAGCCTACAGAACGCCTTGGACAACATGGTTATTAGAAACTAGCTGTTTATCTAAATTTGTTTTGTACATTACCTGTTTTAACTTTAATTTCACATCTTCAAGGCCACCAATTTGCTCCCAAGTAACAGGTTTACACTCTGTTAGTCCAACTGCACTTCGAAAAGAGGATGGTTGAATTTTTTTTAAAGCTTCTTGGAAATCTGCCATGCTAATCACCATTTCAGTTGAATCCTGGAGAAAGCCAGATAAAGCATATTAAGAATATTTTTACATAATAACTTATAACGCTGCATTAGTATGCAAAACACTTCATAAAAGGCCAAATGCAGCCAATAAAGAAGCAAATTTCTGCCCTAACAAGCTTAAGCACTGCAGACACACAGAGGTAATGCAAAGCAGAATATATTCTCGTTAATCGCAAGTTTTTACAGAACAAAACCACATTTTAACAAAAAATAGTGTTTTAGAGAAAACTGCTGTTTTCCTCTAAATTATAGCTCCATTACACAGTGATCTGCTAAATCAAATAGTTGCTAATTTCAGGGTTACTACACTCCAAATCCTAGAATCTCTTGAATACAAATATTCTAACATTTCCACCACATACTAGAGAAAGTAAGGCACTTTATCTCAAATAGGCTAGAAAATACCATTATTAAACTACAGATGCAGTAACAGAACTAAGGTGTATTTTACAAAGGCGCATACAGTTCTCAAGGTAAACAGGCTATCTACTTATTATTTTCAATTTTCCATCTATTTCTTACTGGGATACCAGTTTCAAATTATTTTGTTTATTATTTTCAATATTTGCAAGGTATCTGGAGGAGATGGAAGTTCTAGAAATATGATGCTCTCTTTTTTCTACCCCTGAGTGAAGACAGGGGGTTCTACCATTCTCTGTAGATGTTCTGACTCTCAACATTTTGCCAATACGACTTTAAATTTGCATTCAGCCATTCCAGATGAAAACCCACAGCAAACATATTTTACAATTCTTGTAAAAGTCAAAATAGATAGAAAGAACATTAAGAAATAAATATTATCGATATGGAATTAGAGAATGGCTACGAAGTTAAGTTTCTGCACACTGGGCAGTTGTATACCTTGTGTCTACAACAATGTTATATCCAGCCATACAACCCAAATGATAATAGCTATTATCACTAGCAGTTATATATTTATGTGTCAACCTGAACTTTCATTTGCAGTTATTGTTAAGAAGTAGAATTCTAAATCACTGATAGCTTCAAAAGAGAGCTTTGGTGAACACTATAGTTTAGTTTGCCAAAAAAGACTGAAATCTCTGCTTTGCACAATACTAAAATGATAAGGATGAGGATAAAAACTTTTGGCAAAGCTTTTCACCCAAAAAGGAGAAAACAGTCTTTTCAGGTGAGAACTGAAAGGACTAGCGAAATGGTGTATTAATGTTTATAACACACTTGGTGTTTTTCAGTATTTTAATTTGCAAGTTCTTCAACTTGGTGAGCTTTTCAAGTAAACTGAGTATTAATTAGGAAAGGTTGGTACATATATAAATGACAATCTTCTTGACTGATTTGCAACCATACCAAAGAGCTGTGGAACACAGCCTGCATGGCTGCTTCTCTGCAGAGTGCTGTAAGGTCAGCTCCAACATACCCAGTTGTCATTTCTGCCAGTTTAACCAAATCAACGTCTGTAGAAATTGGCATACTAGATGTAAGCAACTGCAGGATGGATCTTCTTTGTGTAAGTGTTGGTGTCCCAATAATAACCTAAACCAAATATAACAAACAAAAATTTTCAGTAGATATTTTGCTGTGTTCCTTTTATTTTATAGACCTAGGCAAGCAACTATGTCTCTGCTTTATACTGCTCACTGAAGATTTATACATACTTATACAGCAACTAAAGAATTTCACAAGAAACTTATTACTAGCACTATACAAATGACAACTATTTAAAATACCCTTCATTTACCCTTACTTTCCAAGCGAACAGTGTTTGTATAAACAGTTGTTCCTAAAACACTATCAGCTACTGTCCATCAAGCCGTATTTGAAGGTAGTTTCAACATAAGATATAACACTGAAATAATAATTTCTTTGCATCACAAGGACTGAATTAGATTTGTCCAAAAGGAAAAAAAAAATCAATTAGATAAACGTTCACACATTATTAAAAACCTGGTAGAATACCGCCATATAAATATATCTCAACAATCTATAAATCCTGGAAAATAATGAAAATTATAGTTGTGAAAGCTTAAAGGACTTGACTAAACTGGATGACCCAGGAGTGTGTTTAGCCAGCAAAATAAACAATATAAGTAAAAGCATTGTGTATTGCATAACTGTATGTGTTCTTTCTTCTTTTGACCATTAGGCTAAAAGCAGTCTTCCAGATTAGACCTAGCCCTTGTTATTGAAATCTGAATAGAATTTTTGACACAACAGGTTACCAGTTCTTTGTCACAATAAACTTTTAAGGAGAGATGCATAAATCTTCACGCTAGGATTTAAATGAGGAAAATCTAAGCCTGTAATGCTAAGCATCTATAAGCAAAAGAAAACTGTCAAGAACAGGTACACGTCTTTATGATAAAGAAGCATAAATACTCTCCTTGTCCACTTTCAAGTATTTGGAGCTCTCAGTTTCCTCAGTAAAACATGCTCCCTACCTTACCCAAGACACAGCAAACTAAAGAAACAGGACACATCTCAAGCCTGTAAAATCACACTATGAAACATGACTAGTAGACATTAAAAAAAATAAAATGACTTTGTTAACTACCCCCTGCTGCACCTTAAAAATGACCAAAAAAAGACAGTGTATGAATAACAGGGTTTGCTTACCTCTCTGTCAAATCTGCCAGGTCTTCTCAGTGCAGGGTCTAAGGCATCAGGCCTGTTTGTTGCTGCCATAATGACCATCTTACCCCCACTACCTACACCATCCAGTAGCGTTAGCAACTGAGCAACAATACGATCTTCAGGAGCATTGTTTGAATTTCCTCGCTTTGCGCATAAAGAGTCAACTTCATCAATGAAGAGAATGGTTGGGCCTTCATGTGACATTTCCCTTCCCTTTTCAAAGACCCTTCGCAAATTCTCTTCAGTTTCTCCTGGCCTTGAACCATAGAGAGCTGGGCCACTGATGCAAAGCAGATATGCACCCACTTCTTTTGCTACTGCCTTTA